TGCTTTACTTTCTTTCTCTCTCTCTCTGCTAATGGAGAAGACCAAAAATAGCAGGATAGAGGGAGAGTTAAAGAGGAACTTCTTTCTCTTAACCACTTGACCTCTAGAGGATTTACCCCCCCCCCCCCCCCCCTCCTGACCAGGCCATTTTTTGCGATACGGAGCTGCATCGGTTTAACTGACAATTGCGTGGTCATGCAACACTGTACATAAATGAAATTTATGTTGTTTTTGTTGCACAAATAGTGCTTTTTTGGTGGTATTTGATCACCTCTGTGTTTTTTTTTTTTTTTTTTTACGCTATAAATAAGAAAATACAGACAATTTTGAAAAAAAAAAAAATTTTTGCTATTAAATATGTCCAATAAAACAATTTAAAAAATCAAATGTCGTCATGAATTTAGGCCAAAATGTATTCTGCTACATGTCTTTGCTAAAACAAAATCCCAATATGTGTAAATTGGTTTACGAGAAATTTATAGCGTCTACAAATGGCGGTGTATATACTGGAACTTTTATTTATTTCATACTAGTAATGGTGGTGATCAGCGACTTATTGCGGGGCTGCCACTGACATTCCCAGTGACACTAATACAATGATCAGTGCTAATAAAAAGCACTGACACTGTACTAATGACACTGGGCAGGAAGGGGGAAGGGGTAACTTTTGGGCGTTGTACTGTTTTATTTTGGAGACGTGCTGTTTTGTATTTCTCTGCTGTGCAGAGAGATACAAAACAGCATGTCCTTTCTGGCAGGAAAGATACCTGTGTTGTTTACACACAGGCCTCTCCCCTGTCAGCTTTACACGGCGATCGGCAGGGGAATTGGCCAGGACCCAGTGATTAACATGACTAGCCGCCAATGGCGTCGCAGGTAGGGTGGTGTGCACACGTGCGTGCACTCCCTACCTGGAAATGCAAATCACGTAGCAGTAGTTCTACTATAGGGTGGCGGGAAAGTGGTTAATCAACATTTACTATTTTTAATCCTAATGGTGCTAGCATTAGTAAATGGATATAAAAATATATTATGGTTACTTGTTTTTTTAATTTTTTTCAGTTATTTCCTGGTTTCCAAGCCAAGGAAAATTGTCATACATCCAAAGAATCTTCAGCAGGGGAGAAGGGGTTTTCTCAGCTAAGCACATCCTCCTGCCTGCATGCCTGAGCTGAGGGCAGATGGATTATAGGAAGTAAATGCTACATGAATCATCTGCCCTTAATCAAGATGGCCATGGCCAGAAATGCTAGGGGTGTTTTTTGCAGTGATTTCTCAGCAAAATAGTATAATATATAAAGTATGGAGACATGGATGTATGGGTGACCTGGCTTTGAATATTTAAAATGAATTAGTGTTTTTTGATTGTGGCGCTCAGATGCAGTGTAGTTCCACTTTAAGGGAAAATTTAGTCATTGCTCTGACAGATCCACATATTCTTTTAAACCTTTTTGAATACTGAGCTCTGTAAATTTTGGCTTATTTTAGCAAAAAAGATTAGGAGACACAAGTAAACAAAAAAAAAAAGCCAAGATTGCCACCTGCTGCTTGCATATGAAAATTTCAGTAAACATATTTACCTTTTAATAAAGTAAAATTACATTTTAAATTCTGACAATATTAAGTTAACCCCTTCACGCCTAAGGGTAAAACAAATCTAAATGCCTAAGCACAATTCTGCAACGTTGACGTGTTAGTAAAACCGTACATATCATCACAACTACTTTGTACATCCAGGTGGATTATACCTTGTTTTTTTCAGGACAAATTGGGCTTTCATTTGGTGGTAAATGGTAATGGATAGCTCCTAATTTTTTTTTTATTATTAAAGGAAAACTGGGCCAAAATAGTAAAAAAAAAATAATTTTTTTTTAATTTAACTGTGTGTTTCTTGTTACGACCATAACCTACCACCAAAGAACAACCTAAAATACATTCTCCAGTTCTTGATGATCGCAGCGATACCATATATGTGTATGTTATTTGTTGTTTGTACCCGTAGTACAGTCCAGAAACAACAGTGCGCATTTTGTTTTTGTCTTTTTTTCTATTTTTTTTTTACATAAAACACACTGTCACTGACATTGACATTAACACTAACTGACACTGATACCAATTTTTTTTTAAATCCTGACTGACCTTTGACCCTGACCTTGACCCAAACACTAACCCTGGTACTGAACTAGATCAAACCTTGATCTAGGTATTTTTTCTTTATTTTTTCTTTTATTTTTTAATTATTTATCTTTTTTTTTTTTTTTTACAAACTTTTTTTTTTTATCTCTCTATGTCAGGAGTTCGAGAGATACAATGTATCTCTCTTCTCCATTCATAGAGAGAGAGAAAACAAGGGGGCCGGGCTGCACACTGATTGATCACTGTGATAGCCAATCAGAGGCTATCACAGCGATCACGTGACCCGGAATCGGGAGTCCCGGGTCCCGATCGTTAGAACGGGACCCGGGGCTCTCAGTGACACCGCGGTCTTGGTGCTGGGAGCGCGCCGAGCGGCGCGCTCGCAGCACAAAGACAGGTACGCAAATATGCGGCCCCACGGAAAAAAGCCCAGGTCCGTGAGGCCGCATATTTGTGTTACGTCGGCGTCAAGGGGTTAAGGAGTAAATATATACAAAATCACCACACAGTACTTCCAATAACATTACTATCAAAAACGGTGTGTCTTGTGTGTCTCTGTGTCTTGTTTTAATGACTCATAGATGTGCATTAAATAAACGTTAGAAAGCCGCTATGGTCTCTCCCATACACATGCTCTGCTTCCTGCTTTTCATTGCTACACTATAATTGTGATTTACTGCTTCTTTCTGTAATGCAGGTTTATGACTTGGCTAACTCTATAAATAAAAAACACCACTTATGTGACTGATATGTTATCTCAGCAGTTGCTGGAGGAAGTACTGTATCTAGTGATTTTGCATATACTTTTTTTAATTATTTTTGCCAGGACTATATATGTATTATCTCACAGAAGTGAGTACACCCCTCACATTTTTGTAAATATTTTATTATATCTTTTCATGTGACAACACTGAAGAAATGACACTTTGCTACAATGTAAAGTAGTGAGTGTACAGCTTGTATAACAGTGTAAATTTGCTGTCCCCTCAAAATAACTCAACACAAAGCCATTAATGTCTAAACCACTGGCAACAAAAGTGAGTACACCCCTAAGTGAAAATGTCCAAATTGGGCCAAAAGTGTCAATATTTTCTATGGCCACCATTATTTTCCAGCACTGCCTTAACCCTCTTGGACATGGAGTTCACCAGAGCTTCACGGGTTGCCACTGGAGTCCTCTTCCACTCCTCCATGACGACATCACGGAGCTGGTGGATGTTAGAGACCTTGCGCTCCTTCAACTTCCGTTTGAGGATGCCCCACAGATGCTCAATAGGGTTTAGATCTGGAGACATGCTTGGCCAGTCCATCAACTTTACCCTCAGCTTTTTTAGCAAGGCAGTGGTCGTCTTGGAGGTGTGTTTAGGGTTGTTATTTTATTTTTTTATTTTATTTCAGGTACTTATATAGCGCCGTCAATTTAGGCAGCGCTTTACACATACAGTATATATTGTACATTCACATCAGTCCCTAACCCTCAAGGGGTGTACAATCTAAGGTATGTTATGTTGGAATAATGCCCTGCGGCCCAGTCTCCAAAGGGAGGAAATCATGCTGTGCTTCAGTATGTCTCGGTACATGTTGGCATTCATGGTTCCCTCAATGAACTGTAGCTCCCCAGTGCCGGCAGCACTCATGCAGCCCCAGACCATGACACTCCCACCACCATGCTTGACTGTAGGCAAGACACACTTGTCTTTGTACTCCTCACCTGGTTGCCGCAACACACGCTTGACACCATCTGAACCAAATAAGTTTATCTTGGTCTCACCAGACCACAGGACATGGTTCCAGTAATCCATGTCCTTAGTCTGCTTGTCTTCCACAAACTGTTTTGCGGGCTTTCTTGTGCATCATCTTTTAGAAGAGGCTTCCTTCTGGGATGACAGCCATGCAGACCAATATGATGCAGTGTGCAGCGTATGGTCTGAGCACTGACAGGCTGACCCCCCACCCCTTCAACCTCTGCAGCAATGCTGGAAGCACTCATACGTCTATTTTCCAAAGACAACCTCTGGATATGACACTGAGCATGTGCACTCAACTTCCTTGGTCGACCATGGCGAGGCCTGTTCTGAGTGGAACCTGTCCTGTTAAACCGCTGTATGGTCTTGGCCACCGTGCTGCAGCTCAGTTTCAGGGTCTTGGCAATCTTCTTATAGCCTAGGTCATCTTTATGTAGAGCAACAGTTTTTTTTTTTTTTCAGATCCTCAGAGAGTTCTTTGCCATGAGGTGCCATGTTGAACTTCCAGTGGCCAGTATGAGAGAATGAGAGCGATAACACCAAATTTAACACACCTGCTCCCCATTCACACCTGAGACCTTGTAACACTTAACGAGTCACATGACCCTGGGGAGGGAAAATGGCTAATTGGGCCCAATTTGGACATTTTCGTAGGGGTGTACTCACTTTTGTTGCCAGCGGTTTAGACATTAATGGCTGTGTGTTGAGTTATTTTGAGGGGACAGCAAATTTACACTGTTATACAAGCTGTACACTCACTACTTTTACATTATAACAAAGTGTCATTTCTTCAGTGTTGTCACATGAAAAAATATAATAAAATATTTACAAAAATGTGAGGGGTGTACAATTTAGTAAGGTAAGAATGCAATACTACATTTTCATATGCTGCCAGAAGGTTTTATCGTCCTGGGTCTTCCTTATCTTTTTCCCGGTATCGCCATCAACAGGATCTCTTGTGCCATGGCTTTACAGCAGTTTGTATTGAATACACCTAAAGAATCAAGGTTTGGTTGTGTTATAAAAGAGAGCATGTTACAATGGCCAATGTAATTAACTAAACAGGTTTTTTTTAACATAATTATTTTTTTGTTGTTACTAATTTATTTTGTGTTACAGGTTCTCCACTAGTTTTGCATTTTATGGCCTTGGCATGGACCTGCAGAATTTTGGGATCAGCATTTTCTTGTTGCAGTTTGTCTTTGGCAGCATTGATTTACCAGCTAAACTGGGAGGAGCCATTCTGATGAGCTGTATAGGGCGCAGAGTGACACAATCAGGGTCCCTGATTCTTGCTGGAGTTGCCTTGCTTTGTAATGCTTTTCTTCCTCAAGGTCAGTTCATCCAGCAGAGGATTGGTGGAGGTGTCTACAATAACCAAAAATTTTCGTTGCATTATTATTTACAGCAAGCCTAATGTCTACATAAAAAAAAGAGAATCCTGAGAAACAGCTGAGAGCATAAGCTGTCATTACATAATATACATTACAGCACCATCCAAAGCCCCTGATGTTTCTTCACCTCCTGTGGAGGAGCTTAGGGCCACCACTTGCTCCCATTCCAGAATGCATGCCTGGTGCTTGTGGGAGCTTTCAACAGAGGCATTATTAAGGGGTCTGAATCTTCCTATGCAAATAGCGACTTTGAGAAAGTCCGAAGGCTCTGGGCAGTGCTGAGCTGTTCTGATTCCACAGTATTAGGCACTGTATGTCATCTGTTACCCTCTACTAATGTTAATATGTCATTGGGGAGCACAGTGGATAAATGGTTAGCACTTCTGCCTGACAGTACTATGGTCGTTGGTTCGAATCCCAACCACGGCACTACCTGCCTGGAGTTTGCATGTTCTCCCTGTGCCTGCATGGGTTTCCTCCGGGTACTCCGGTTTCCTCCTACACTCCAAAGACATGCTGGTAGGTGAATTGGATCCTGTCTAAATTGGCCCTAGTATGTGTATGTATGAATGTGAGTTAGGGACCTTAGATTGTACACTCCTTGAAAGTTAGGGACTGATGTGAATGTACAATATATATGTAAAGCGCTGCATAAATTGACGGCGCTATATAAGTACCTGAAATAAATAAATAAAAATAATTGTTGTCAAGTTCACTCTATCATTTAACAACAATATAACAGTGTTTCTAGCATTGTGTGACATACACTGCTGCTGTGTAAATAAAGAATTTATTTCTACTTTTGGAATCAAATGAGAAAACCCCGCTATATGTTTGTTATGTGGTACCTTTTACACAGCATGAAAAAAGGGATATCTGTTTTTAAAAATAATTCTTACCTTTCTTTTAGATTTTGTTTTATAATAGGAAATGACCGCAAGGATATCTCGACAATGTCTGAATGACATTTTCTCTCATTAGCATGCAATGCAAGGAGCCCAGTTACTAAATGTTTAACCCTTTGTTAGGATAGACAGTGTTCAAGTCAAGTTTACAATTGATATTAATTGATAACAGTACAGTTAATTAGGGCAAACACAGCTCCCCAGCCCCCCCATAATCAAAAAGAACTTGTACAATTTTACAGTGTAAAGCAGCCCATAGATTATGCTGTTTTCTTCCCCTCTTCCCAAGAAAATTGCTGTGTTTATGGGGGAATGTGGTACTATTGTTTTTTTGCCAGCAGGGAGCTTTCTCTGCTAGCAGAACACAATGATCACTGCTAGAAACTATAGCCACGAACAGTGATCGCATGAAAAAAAAAAAACCCAGCAGGCTGGTTGAACTGAAGTTGATTGTACTGGGGATTTCAGTGCATAGCCAGTTCTGTCATGTTACTACTAAAAGTTATGTGCTGACCAGGGGCGAACTGACAACTCATGGGGCCCCCGGGCAATAGGGGATCATGGGGCCCCTGTGTCCTTGCCCAAACTCAAAAAAGCCTATGAAAAAGGTACCAGGGGCATCTCATGGGGCCCCCTACTGACCCCGGGCCCTCGGGCAATGCCCGAGTTTCCAAATGGTCATTCCGCCTCTGGTGCTGACCACCTTTCTGATAGAATCATCAGGTATTTTTCTTTATTTAAACATGGAGAAACGTGAATGTATTGGAGACCTGTACTGAGTAAATATTTTTTGATTTTTAGCTCAGACATACACTTTTATGCTATAACTCATAATTAATATGTCCAATTAAGATGTTAAAGCTGAACATCACACTGCTCTTGTTATTCAAAGATTGTTTCCCACAATTCTGTGTATTGTGAGTTTTTGGAGTGGACTGACTCTTCAGTGTTGTAGATAGGGATCGAACCCCATTCAAACTTATCCTCAGCTGATGCTGCTCAGAAGAAGGTCTAGATCCTTTTGCTAAGAAAAGTATTATATGTCATATCGCTCATCTTCGTTGCAGCCTTATTTGTTCAAAAATATTTTCTCTTTGTTCCTTTTTAGATATGAGAATTGTTCGAATAGTGTTGGCTGTTTTCGGTAAAGGCTGTCTGGCCTCCTCATTTTGCTGTGCTTACCTGTATTCTAGTGAGCTCTTCCCAACTGTTATCAGGTATATTGACAACACAATCACTGGAGGACTTAATGACTGGACTGGAAAGGTTTACCAGGACTGCCCATGCAATATCAGACAATGTTGGTGAAAAAGGCTGAGCCCTCTCTGATTGGCAGGCTGAAGGTTTGTTCTTCAACTGTCAGACTAGGTTCACACTAATGCGGTGTGGTACATTGCATGTGATTCGCACAGGAACCGCACTGCTTTCCTGTGCAAATCACATGTGATTTGTATGCGGTGCGACTGGAGCCATACATTTTGTATGGCTCCAATCGCACTGCACCTGCACCAAAAAGGTGAAGGACCCTTTTTGGGTCTGTACTAGAATCGGATCGCATGGGTATTCACACCTATCCGATCCCATTCTGCACATCAACCGATTTTGGGGTGTTGTTAACATACACATCCGCTTCGGTTCACATGAATAGGGTGTGATTCTAATGCGGTGCGGAATTCGCACAGAAAACGCTGCGAATTCTGCAATGCATCAGTGTGAACCCAGCCTTACTGGAAAAATCTGTTTCTTGGTTCTTTAACCTCCCTGACGGTATTCCCGAGTGTAGCTCGGGGTAACATTTCAGTACCAAAAGCGGTAACCCCGAGCTACACTCGGGCTTACCCTGCGGCACTGCTCCGGCAAGTGTTCTTCACTTATCTTACCCTGCGCTCCCACGATGTGTCCCCTGCAGCGTCCCCGGCCATCTCCTCCGGCCGATGCCGGCATCCGGCTTCTGTGTCCTGTCCCTGAGACGTCGGGACGTACGGGCGCCGCCGCCGGCGGGAAATTTAAAAATTTTAAAAAAATGTCATTTTTTTTTTTTTTACATTTTACACAGTAAAACATTGCTGTTTCAACCTATTTCACATACATATTGTCCCTAGTGCTTTGTCCTGTGCCCTGCCTGCATTTTGTCTGTTCTTTCTGCCTGGAAACTGAGAAATGTCCATGGCGTCCAAAAAGTGTCCCTTTAGGTCAAAAGCGGTTTAGACCGGCTAGAGAACAGCGATAGTAAATTAGAACCACTTTCAGAATTGAGTGATAATGATTCGTGGGGGAAATTCGTCATCAGAAACTGAAAACGATTTTGCGACTGAGCTCAGCAATGTGCGAACTTGGCGCTCTATTTCACATTTCAGTGTTTTTGGTTTGATTATATTATTGAATTACATTTTTTATTATTTTTATATTATTTTTATGATTATTTATTAAATTATAATTTATGATTTTGTGTTTCAAATTTTATCATACCCGGGCTGTTTACTAGACTCTTGTTCGGACAGCAGCAGATTTCAGTGAGTTTTTCCTAAAAATTACAGCCTACAATAAAAAAAATACATATTTCCATGCAAAAAAATGGTACCGCTTTCAGCACCAAAAATCTGAAATAATCATACCGCCAGGGAGGTTAAGGCCCTTTTACTTATATGGGATACAATAATGCGCGCATGTTACTCTGCATTATTTGGCTTCTTAATGTGCTTTGCATTAAGGCAAACCAATATGCTTAAAATTGCATATGACACTTTTTTTTTTTTTTAAATACAACACACTATAATGCTACTATGCAGGTGCATTGCTTTAATGCTTCTACATTGTATTGCAGTAAGACCATACCTAACTGCACTGGGGAAGTGTGAATCCAGCCTAAATCTTCCTCTTGGCTCTTAGATTTTACTGGTTCTTGAATTCTAACCGCAGGTGGTTCCTCGCAAAAGTTAATTACTTTTTAGTTAAACTTTTTGCTACTCGGCGCTGCACTAATTCAACTGATAATTGCGCGGGTCATGCAATGCTGCAGCCAAACGAAATTTACATCCTTTTTTTCACACAAATAGAGCTTTCTTTCGGTGGTATTTGATCGTCTGTGCGCTTTTTATTTTTCACGCTATAAACAAAAAAAGGCCAAAATGTTTGAAGAAAAACAATATTTTTTACTTTCAGCTATAAAAAATATATAGTAAACTCAAAGTTGGTTATAAATTTAGGCCAAAATGTATTCTGCTACATGTTTTTGGTAAAAAAAATCCCAATGAGTGTATATTGATTGCTTTGTGTGGAAGTTATAGCGTCTACAAACTATGGTATAAATACTGCAACTTACGCCATTTTTCTGCTATACAGCGCTGCGCTAGTTTAACGGACAATTGCGCGGTCATGCAATACGGTACATAAATGAAATTTACATCCTTTTTTTTCCCCACAAATTGAGCTTTCTTTTGGTGGTATTTGATTGCCTGTGCAGTTTTTATTTTTTTGCGCTATAAAAAAAAAGGCTGACAATTTTGAGGAAAAAAAAAACAATATTTTGGACTTTTTGCTATAAAACATGTCCAGTAAAAAAAAATGCAAAAATCAAATTTAGTCATAAATTTCTGCCAAAATGCATTCTGCGACATGTCTTTGCTAAAAAAAAAACCAATACGTGTAAATTAATTGGTTTACGTGAAAGTTATAGCGTTTACAAATGGCGGGAAAGATACTGGGATTTTTAGGGTTTTTTTATACTAATAATGGCGGCGTTCAGTGAATTATGGCAGCGACCAGCGACTTATGGCGGGACTGCGGCGGACATTCTGACATTAGGGGGTACTGACTTGGGGTCACTGACATCCCCAAAAACACTAATACAGTGATCAGTGCAAAAAGAAAAACACTGACACTGTACTAATGGCACTGGGGAGGAAGGGGTTAACTTTATTTTGCAGGGAAGGGTTATCTGAGTGAGGGGGAGTGTTTTACTAGGGGGCGGGGTGTGTACTGCACTGGACACCGCTGATCGAGAGAGAGAAACTCTTCTGTCTCGATCAGCTCGTCCTCGAGCTGACAAGGAAGTGATAGACAGCACAGCTACTGCAGCTGTGCTCTCTGTCACTGTTTACCGCCGATTGCCGGGAAACAGCCGCTATGGACCGGCTGTGACCCGGCGACTGACATCCGCGGTGGTGATCAGCGGGACAGATAGGGCGGCGGTGCGCCTCGTGCACGCCCCCTATTTGTTTACAATACACACATTTTAAAACGTGGTTTTGCCTGCCAGTGCCGCCCTGCCGCCGTATTTCTACATTGACAGGGCGGCATGTGGTTAAAGGTATCTCTTTTCACATTTATATGTTTCACAGATATATTTGATTATTCATTATTCAAGTTTGGGACACTCTAAGTTTGGACATTTTTATTATTTTAGTCAAATACCATTGTATTCTTTATATTAGTTTAAAAAACATTTTTTTTGTCCTTCATTCAATTTTCTTTTCAGAGTTATATCACAATTGTCATAGATCAACCAATTATTCTCTGTAAAAGCGCGGCACCATTTACCATATTATATTCTAGTTCACATAAATGAGGATGTGATTAGGAGCCTGCTAGCTTTTATATTACTAGTTAGCATATTATCCTAGTGGCTCACAAGTAACCCAATTCTTTCTTTAGATAACACATCTCCTGTATTGGAGTGCCTACACTTTGGTGAAGGAGCTCAGAGTCAATTTTGGACAGCAACATTGTCAGTCTGTGGGGAAAGGAATGTTAGATGCATTACCAAATTGAACAGATTGAAGCTAAACTCCAGATAACATTTATTAAGCAGTTACAGTAACATTTTTTTTTTCCTTTTGGGATAAAGGTTTTACATAAATAAATAAAAGCTGATAATTGTAAACACCCCTGACAGAGTTAAATTATTTGTTTCAAGTGCTACATCTGCAGGACGGCTTGTTCTGTTGAAAAATAACAGACTTACTGGCCAGATCACCAGATGAAAATAAAGGAAAGAAAGCCTAAAAAATAATACGGACATCACATCTAAGAATTAGTAGTGTTCAATATAATAATTGTTTGCTTTTGGGTCTAATACTGCTTTAAAGTGGTTGTAAACCTCAGACATGAAATATCAACAAAACATATTTCTTTATACTGTGTACTGGTCTCAATTAGGAGCACTAAGTGTCATTTCTGCCTGCTGCTTTTGTTCCTCTGCTATCAGCATGAATAATTTCTGACAATTTTTCCTGACACCAAAAGAAAAAAAGTGACGGGAGGGAGCTCCAGCACACAGCCTGTGATTGACAGCTGCAACTCTGTTCCATTGTGCTGTGTGAAGGGGGATTTGTGCCTTCCCTCCAATCAGCTCTCAGAGCTCTCTCCACTCTGCAGTGTGTAATTGCAGCTCTCTTCCCCATTTTCTGAAAGCTCAGACAAGCTTTATAAATTCTGGACTGTGAACAGATTTAGAGAAGAAAATACTGTAGATAAACAGGTACAACATATGTAAAAACATTTGTTTCATCTCTGCAAATCACCTGAGGCCAGTCACTTCACTGTCTATATGTAAGAGTTTACAACCACATTAAGGATGAATTGCTACATAGTGCCTCCAGCTACAGAATTTAGTGAGCGCTCATTTTTTTACCGGCTTTCCCTCTGACCTATAGTAAATGATGGTCCAAACAGGAGCGCTGCCATCCTGGGTGGACGTCATATGACGTCCTCCCAGGATTGCACTTCACGGGCCGCATTGCGGCACAATCTATCACCCACTGTGTCCACAGGGCACAGTGGATGACACCGAGCTGCTGCCAGTACCATGTGAATGCTGTGACCATTCACAGCAGATCACATGACAGTTGTACACAATGAATTGCTTTGTGTTGAGGTCTGTGATTGGTCACAGTGATCACATGGTACAGACAGGGCTAATCACTGCATCTGTATTGTGTGATAGCTGTGGCCAATCACAGATACACAATAGCAGCACCCACTGGATAAATGGATGCCATTCATAAAAATGGATTATCACTTTTATAAGCTATCAGAGTGTGTAAAAAAAAAAAAAAAAAATCCTGATCACCTCTCCAGAGTAGTACAGTGTCACTATGGTAACACTATACTGCTCTTGTCACAGTATGTAAATAAATAAATGGTAGCAAAAGAAAACAATTGTCAAAAAAAAGAGTGGTTTAAAAATTGAAAAACAAATGATTATATATATTTTTTTTTCATACTGTCACCAGTCCCTGATCACCGCCACACTAGTTATACAGGGGTTGGACAAAAAATATGGAAACACTACATGATTTGCAGGTGTGAAAGTGATGACATGTTTCGCATTGAAAGCAGAAGTGACACTTTTGTTTCTGCTGTGTGATGAGACACCTAGCTAACAGGTGGGAAGCCTCACTTTCATAGTTCACTGCATGCGCTGCTAGTAATATGGAGTAACGTCAGAGCTTACTGAGCTTCAAAGAGGGCAAATTGTTAGTGCCCGCTTAGCTGCTACCTCTGTGGCTGAAGTTGCCAATATATTTGCCGTGTAGCGAGGTACAGTATCAAAGATTATAGTGGCATATAGAGTTTCTGGGAAAATGTCATCTGATAAGCATAAGCACTTCGGTCAACTGACCAAAACAGACAGAAGGACATTGCGCAGGGTTGTGACCTGAAATAAGAAATCAACTGCTGCAAAAGTGACTGCAGAGCTCAATCTCAGTCTTCACGGGACTCAGATTGAGCTCTGCAGTGACTTTTGCAGCAGTTGTCATAACCTTTGATACTGTACCTCGCGACACAGCAAATAAATTGGCAATTAGTCATGGAGGCACCAGCTAAGCGGGCACCAACAATTTCCCCTCTTTGAAGCTCAGTAAGCACTGACATGACTGTATTACTAGCACCGCATACAGTGAATGACGAAAGTGAGGCTTCCCAGCTATTAGCTAGGTGTCTCATCAAATAGCGGAAGCAAAAAAGTGTTACGTGACTTCTACTTTGAACATGAAACATGTTGTCACTTTCACTCCTGCAAATCATGTAGTGTTTCCATTTTTTTTTGTCTAACCCATGCACTGATGGCGCTTTATGTTAAAGATAATTGTGTAAAAAAAAAAACCCCAAAAAACGCTTTTTTTTATTTTATTTTACTAAAAATGGTGAAAAAATTACAACTTCAAAAAACTCGCCATGCCTCTCACTAAATATCTTGGACTGTCTACTTTCCAAAAAGGGGTCATTTGGAGGGTATTTGTACTGTCCTGGCATTTTAGGGCCTCAAGTAATGAAATAAGCAGTCAGTACATCAGGATTGACTGATTTTCAAATTTATATCATAGTTTGTAGACTCTTACTTTCCTAAAGACTAAATGATATACACTGATTTGGGTTATTTAAAAAAAAAATGTAGCAGTATACATTTTGCCCTAAATCTATTAAGATTATGTATTTGCAACATTTTATAACAGAAACGAAGAAAAACACATTTTTTTCCCCAAAATTTTCAGTCTTTTTTGTTTATTTATCAAAAAACTGCAAAAACAGTAGTGATTAAATACCACCAAAAGAAAGTTTTATCTGTCTCAAAAAAAGATAAATATTTAATTTGGGTACAGTGTTGCATGATTGAGTAATTGTCATTCAAAGAGTGACAGCATTGAAAGATGAAAATTGGCCTGGGCTGGAAGGGGGTGAAAGGGTCCGGTATTGAGGTGGTTAAAGTTCTGCTTATTATAAATTTGTAAATACTTAAATGTCTATTGTCTGGCCACATGTTCACTTTAAGCATTCTTTGAATGTTTGTACTCTTTTTGTGTTTGCATAAAAGTATTTTGGCAGTCAATCAACTGGTTGAGTACTAGAAAAAATGGCAGATTCCTGTAGACATCAGGTCATCAAGCAAAGATCACAATATATGCAGATCTCCATAGACTCAGCACAGAACTTTTTTATGTCACGTTGTGAAGCCCTGCGCAAACTGTTGGCACTATATAAATCCTGTAAATTATAATAATAATGTCAAAGGGAAAATCTAATAACTCTGTTGGATATTGATGCCAGTTACATGCTGTACCTGTAGCATTATAGCTGCTCTGGGATTGTCTACTATGCACATAGGAGTATTCTATGCACTTAAGATATGAACATGCATATGTTTGTACATACTGTCGGAAAGAGAAATTGTGAAATGCCTTGTAGAACTCTCCACGATCCCCAAAGACCAGCCTTTCTCAACCAGGGTGCCTTCAGGCTTCTTCAGGGGTGCTTTACAATATGCTTAAAAACTGCCCAAAAATGGTATAAAAGCCAGCAGGTGGATCAAGCCTGCATTTAATTACACAAAGCCATAGGTTTTCATTGCGCACTTTTACAACCAGCCAGCTGCAGGCATCCTAACAACCAATTACATCATTAGTTGATAAGGAGGACATTGGGCGCCTGCACAGCATCCTTGTTTGCCCCTTCCCGCCCCTCTTTATCAGCAGTGAAGTCACATTAGCTGAGTGAAGGAGAGAAACTAAGGGAGAAACACTGGAATACTAGTCAGTACCCGTTTGCAAAGCAATATTTGCTTTGGAAGAATAAATCACCTCTAACGATGGGTGTCCTACACATGTGGATGTTGCTGCATTATTTAAAACTATTAGAATCGTTTTTTACATTTTAGAATGGGGTGCCTTGAGATTGTGCAGAATGTTAAAGGGTGCCTTGAGATTGTCCATAATTTTAAAGGGTGCCTTGACTGAAAAAAGGTTGAAGTAACACTGGGGTAGACAAATTACAGCCTTGGCAAATGAACTCTCCTATTTGCATTAAAGAGCTGCACAGCTTTTGGAGCTCCCAAGAGATGAACAAAGAATCTGACCATGTTCTGACACCTATACGCCTTCACTGTGCACATTTACCTGCAGTTTGGGGAGTTACAATAAAAACACAGGTTAACTGTAGGAATATTTCATGTCATATAAAAGTCAAAACTGGAAAACACAAATTGCAATTTTGCTTTATTAAAATGATCTTCCTTTCTTTTCCAGACAGAGTGGAATGGGGGTTGTTGCTATGAAAGCCCGCATGGGCTCCATGGTTGCTCCATTGGTTTTGATGTTATCAGAGATTTCTCCTATCTTTCCTCCAGCAACATATGGAGTGGCAGCAATAATATCCGGGATTGTAGCTGTGTTTTTGAGTGAAACTTGTAATCTGCAGTTGCCAGATACAATAGAAGAAGTTGAAGCCAGGTAGGGTCACATTTTAAAGATCTTGATTCCTGCCATTTTACAACATAATGTCTGTTTTTTTTAGCACTATGTTATATTTCTCCTCTGCTGAAGACAAACCAAAAATTGCTGAGTACTACAGATCTGTAGAAAATATAGAGAAACACATTAACAAATGTGCTGATCCTTGTTCAAATTGAATTGATTTCTTCTTTCCTCTTTTAGAGCAGGGAGTGGTTCATGCTCAGTCTTTACATAGCCCAAGGCAATATAACAAAGCTAAAATGTAATAAATAATTTGTTTCAATCAAGTTGTGTATGACCATCCTAGTCCATCCTTTGTGCTATGGTTCTGTTTATTCTACAATTAATTGTCATTACATAAAGCAGACCTTTCTACCCTTTCACAGCAGCATAAACCTTTGCATGCTGATATGAAATCATCTTACATTCATTGGTAAACAAGATTTTACGTACAATTATTTTTCACCTCCTGGTTATGTGAGGTATTAGTGATGTAATCCCGGCCTCACAGCTGCATCCTGGGAAATTGCTGTCTCATGTTCCAGGAGGCAGACCCAAAGTTCCAGGCAGAGTTCCAGGAACTAAAGGGAGTTGGTTTCATCTGAACATGCAAAAGATCAAAAACTAAAAGCCTGGCTAAGTCTCTACTTCTTAACCCAAATTATATATAGTTGAAAAATGGAAATCCAATGGACAGCTAGGCACCCATAAACAATTTAGTTATCCATCCATATATTCTTTTATTACTTATCATAGAAAAAACACATACAAAAACATTATCGCTGTTATATATATGTAGCTGGCTGATCATGTGAAGATCTAAAATCAGGTGGGGTGTATGTATTTTTGTTCCTGTATTGTTTAAGGGACTATAGAGAACAATATTGTGCAAATATGCGGATAGTGGGTACTCTACCCTTCTTCCCTTAAGTCTTCCAGCAGAAAGCCCTGGGTTATAACTAGTTGTGCACAGATTACATATTTATGTGATGTGATGGACTCAGAGCCTGTGCTAGACTATTTTGCGCCCTAGGCAAGACCAGCTACTTACGCCCCCCCCAGTAAATAAATAATTTTAAAAACAGTAGAAAATATTAAATCAACAAAACATGAAACTGCTAAATTTCTTTTAATGTGCAAAAATAAGTGACATAAGATGCTACCAGCACCAATATTAAAGACAAAATCAGTGTCATGGGTGAACTGTATCTGTGGTTGGCAGTGGCAGGGTGACACTTGCAGTGAGTGGAGGATGATAGATCCACACTGACAGATTCCAGGCTGGAATTCCCCAGGCAATGGGGGGAGATAAAATTTTGTCACAGCAGGCAGCTGAACTGAGTGCTTCCACACAGTGACAGGTCCGACACACACAGATCAGCAGGCACTAGAAGAGCAGGCTGTGGGTTCATGATGATTTCATCACTCACTGACACATTGCATATGTGATGGATGTCCAGCCAGCCGGGTCACACTCACACAGACAGGAGACGTCAGCGTCAGACATTACCTTCCTCTGCAGGTGCAGCTCCGCCTCTGCTGACGAATGGGAAGAGAAAGACTGGAACTCCATAGTGATCAGCAGCCACCAGCTGGCTTGCAGTAAGGGACTGAGTCTGAGAGGAACATTGGAAGGAGTGGCAGCTCAGCTGAAATTGCATACCAAGTTGATGGGACCATTATTGTTTCCTCCATAGTTTCATGATGTGAGGAGTACATAGAATATACCTCAGTTGCATAAGTTGATTACTGGAGGACTTTTTCTAAATAGATCAGCTGATGTGATACACTGCAAGACACTTAAGCCAGCTATAGAGGGACCGGCTGAGATTTGATCCATCTATGGGCAGGCTGACTGTAGTCAAGTTGATCCATCGATCAACTTTGGTACAACCAACATGTAGGATTTTTAGCATGAGATCGCCAGCAGCTTGCCAGCTAGCAGTAGTCATTGTTTTCTCCTGACAGGGACAGCTTCCCGTAACCCCCCCCCCATCCCTGGGAGAACAAAAGCTCCACAGGAGGTATTCTCCCAACAACACAGACTGTTGATGGGGGACTGTTGCAGGAAAGAAAACATATAATTTATGGCCTGTCTAAGCAATACTCCACACCAGATAATAAAGGAAAATTCTAGACCAACATTGCTCATTTTCATCAGTACCTGGGTGGTATATGGGAGCCAGGTGCAGCGGCTGTTTTTATGAGTTGTCCAATTGTGTTGTCTTATTATCATGTAGGTGTTTTTTATATTAAAAGAATATATGTATGGATAGCTAAATTGTGTGTGGTTTCCTAGCTGTCCATTGGATTAAAAGTTTTTTTGACTTTATTTATTTATTTATTTATTTGGGGGGGGGTTGAGAAGGAGAGTCTTAGCCAGGTTTTTATTTTTTGCATCAAATAGATATGCATTGGTGATTCCTCCTCTTGTAGTTGTATTATGTAGGTACATTGATAGGACAGTTGACTGAGGACCTTTTTTATTTATTTAGTATAACCTTAGGAGAATTGGAAGGTACAGAAAAATAAGGTATACAAAGAATAGGAAGCCTGCAATTATCTAAAAGTATCAGTGATCGGTGTTACTTAAAGGCTTTACTGTAGATAATAGGGTATTTTATTTCAAAAATGTATTTTATAATTTGTCATGTTTATATTCATATTAAAATCATGTTTTGGTACAAAGCATTGCAAAGTTATTTATTTCTACATAAAATACTTTTTTTCAATTCTGCACTTTTGTAATGCAACACTAAACAAATTAAGAAACAAATCAAAATAAAAAAAGGTTAAATGTTAATGGTTAGAAAAAGAGAAATAAACAATAACAAATAAGAAGTTGATTATGACCGGCTAGGAACTAAAGATAGTAAATAATAAAAGAATTCTGTATAACAACAAAACACATTTTTGGAAACTATTTGCTCTGCATTAGGACTGGAGATCAGGAGATCAGTATATAGCTAATACATGGACAGCAATTTTAAAAACACATTTCAAGTCATTTTGAAAAGTGTATAAAATCTCCGGGAAGTGGTGATTGCAAAACTGTCTTCAAATTCTAAAGCGTACAGCAGAATCTCTATATCCAACAACCTGCTCCCCCACCGTACTCAGTGGTTCCTCTCACCAGTCCACACGTCAGCACTGCAATGACATAGACCCAGCAGAATGGAACCACAGTGCAAAGTTAAAGATACAGGTATCTGACAGTCCCAAAAGTGTTGAATACTGAAGATTCTGCCAGAGATTTTAGCACTTAAAGACAACACCGTCCAGAAGTAAGCATTTGTATTACAGAAGTCATTTCAGGTTTTTTTTGGAAGCAAAAGGGTGACTTTAACTGACTATATCCTTTTCCAAACACTAAATCAAAATGTACCTGCTTGTCCCAAAATCAAAAGAATATACCCAAATAACCTTTATCTTTTTACAGATCTAAAGGTAAAGATATACACAGGATCATCCCAAAAGAGGAAGTCCCCCTTACAGAGAGTCAACCTCAAGGTCATCCTTCAAGAAGACTCTTAGTGGAAACGGCGTAATCAGCCCTAAGCTATAGGCATGGATACAACGCATTTAGTGTGATACGTTGACAATTTGTCCATGGGAGCAGAAATTGTGTGTGCAAATTGCAAACAATCAAGACACCAAGACCATTTCTTCAACTCTATGTGTTTAGGAGAAAAAAAAAACCTAATACAATCTTAAATATGTTTGTTTGAATTCACATGACAAAAGTTAAATTCCTGGTAATGATGCAATTCACATTTTGTATATGGAGGCAAGGTTTAGTGTCATGTGACCGCCATGACACGCCGTCACAGCGGTCACATGATTGGGAAAGGTCCCGATCGAAAGAGGAGATCGGGACCTTTCCGTGAGCACCGGACATGTGTTCTGGGAGTGCGCAGGGCACGCACTTTCAGCACATATGCTCTTTTTTATTAGAACGCAAATGTGGGGCCGCGAGGCGTCTAGGCCCAGATGCCGGGAGGCCGCACATTTGCGTTCGGCTGGCGTGAAGAGGTTAAGCCCTCTGCTTACACTGATGTGCTGCAGAATTCGCAGCAGCATTATAATCGCACTGTTCATGCGAACCGCTGGGGGTGTGTATGTTAACAACACCCCAAAATTAGTTAGCAAACGCGGTGCGATGTGTAGAATCGGATTGCATGGGTGTGAATACACATGCAATCAGATTCTAGTGCAGACAAGAAAAAGGTTCTACACCTCTTTGTTGCGTATTCGGTGCAATTTCAGCCATACAGAATGTATGGCTCAAATCGCACCACACAGAATTCAAAAGGGTTTTGCACAGGAATTCTGTGTGGTTCCTGTGCGAATCACATGCGATATACCACACCACAGAAGGGTAATAGCTTAAAGGCAAACAGAAGTCTCACATTTTTTTCTGTCTCATTGCTGTACTGCTCTATTTTAGGAATTTTCAATTTCCCCTTGAAGATGCCTTTTTTCCTCTCTATAAAAGCTCTGCTAACTGCCCCCCCTCTCCAGTGCTCTATGCTGACATAAATGACTGATGACCACACCCCTTATCACAGGCACTCTCACACAAATCTATACCACCAGAAAGAGACAAGCCAAGTCAGTAGGAATGCACTGGACAGAGAATTGCCTATTGGAGTGCACATTCTATATGTAGACACACTTCTGTGACTTCAACTGGGCTTTAAAGTGAACCTGTCGGCCATTTTAAACTTAAAGTACCGTAAACTTAAAGGGGGGAAAATGTCAGTGCATCTTATGGAGCAAAGATGGAGCGGCCGCTCCGGTATTTCCGCCGCCGCCACCATGTCAGAATACCGGCCCGGCCGCTCAGCTCTTCTCTCCTGCAGGACCTTACCTGTTCCTCTGTCCAGCGCTGTAGTCTTCCCGCGCCGGCTTCTGTGACAGCCGGGTGCCCACTGCGCATGTGCGCAAAGCTCTGCGCTTTGTGAATGGTCCGGCGACTTTTGGGACACATGACAGGTCCCA